AAATTAGTAGAAAATTACCCCAAAATGAACCCCAAATCCTATATATTAAAATGGGTCAGGTTATAAAAATAGGAAAAATAACCCTCCGAAACTGTGTCTATGATCGCAGAATGGACCGCAAAACAAGAATGTGGGCCGCAGAATGCACCACAAAATAGGTGCCCAAAATTGGACAACACTGGCCCAATTTGCGACAGATCTGCGATCGCAAAGTCAAAAATGCGACAGATTTGCTATCGCAGATTCGACACAGGATCGCATTTTTCCAGCCTTTGGTAATTTGATCATAAATTTGTGTAGGAATGTCCAAATGGCGAACGGTTTGAAGTGTTGGAAACTAGACTCAAATACCTTTTATTTGATATGTTGTTCATCAAATAAAACCTTATACATATTTAGATATGCTTGTTCAAAATGTGGTCTTGTGCAAACTCAGTTGGAATCTTAGTCTATTATGAAATTTTCCAATGTGACTTAGGCTTAGGCCTTTCCTTGGGCCCCAAATTACTTACCATAAGACTTCTACACTTATTTACCAAATCCACTTGATGCCCACCATGTTAATAGAACATAAAATATTATAATTAGCCTACGTGGCACCACGAAATCCTAGATTACTTAGCAAAATTTTCCGGGGCCTTACAGCTGGTCTGGGCTGGGGCGCCACTGCAGTAACTAGCTGGGCCCTATCTGCGGGTAGTGCACCTGGATTCTGATACATTGCAGCTGCATGACCAGGAGCCTGAGCAGTAGGGGTCTGTGCTCCCCCTCCTGTCTGTGATGTAGCTGGATCCACTGGAAATAAACTAGCCTGTCATAGAATCCATGAACCGCAGCATACGGCCCATGATCTCCTGGAAACCTGGTGCTGTCATAAAGTCCGTCGGGGTAGGCTCAGCTGCGGGCACCTCACCCTGCTCCTCAATGATAGGATTCTCCGCAGGGTCTGCTGGTGGTACTACTAGGATAACTCTAGGGCACCCTCGTCCCCTACCTCGGGTTGGTGCCCTTCCCAGCCTCTACCTCGGCCTCTGGCAATAGGGGGAGCAGCCCCTCCTGGGTCTAGAACATCAGCAGTGCGTGTCCTCACCATCTGTGAGAGAATAGAAGAGGTAAATTTAGTATACCAACCACTGCACGATAGAAATGAATAAAGAGTAGTTTTCCTAAAACCCTATAGGCACTTGAAGATAAATACAGACGTCTCCGTACCGATCCGCAAGGCTCTATTAGGTTTGCCCATGACTTGTGAGACCTACGTGAACCTAGTGCTTTGATACCATGTTGTCACGACCCATTTTCCATAATAGGTCATGATGGCGCCCAACACCGTTGTCAGGCAAGCCAATGCAGAAGTATTAGTGAATTCTTATTTTACTTACTCAAAACAGTTACAACATTTTTCTTAATTTGCAATTAAAAGGCAGGTGATAATATGCAACATTCAATGATAATTATGCAATCCAAAAGAAACGTCTACTAATGTGTGTGCCAAGACCTGGTGTCACAAGCTATAGACAACTAGTAGAATATACAAATTAATAAATCTATCCTACTGTCTGAAATAGAATAGATAGTCAAAAGTAAGGAAGACTCCATCCAGTTACTGATCGGCACAGGAATGGAAGCAGCTCACCGTGTAAGTCTCGGACTATGATTAGGGACGTGCACTGGTCTGATAGCCAAATGAACCTGCCTCAGATCCTGAACAATTAAGTACATAAGTGTAGCATAAGTACATAAACAATATGTACCCAGTATGTATCCTGTCTAATCTCGAAGAAGTAGAGACGAGAAGTCGACTTGACACTTACTAGGGTCAAATAATATGAGAGATGAATTATATTGAGCATGGATAAAACAAATAATTAGTATGGTATAGCAAGAACTAAGAAGTCCCCTCCTAGATGATGTCACAGCTGGCAACCCCCATTCCAGGACAAATAATAAACTCAAGTCATAGAAGAATACTGAGTAAAGCATGCGCAAGTAGTGCCGAGGTCGTACAGCCCGATCCAGCATAAAAGTAAATTGTGCACTGTCGACGGTCGAACGACACGAACCATAGATGCATCTATTACCCCGCTCGCGAATCAACCAGGCGACGCGGTCAATGTAATTAAACACAGCAACAAGCAGACAAGAACACATAACTGGGGAGAAATTACTCACTAAGTTATCAACTTCTTTTTAAAAAGGCCAAGAAAGATCATATTCCTCTTAACTAGTCTCATTTATCATAATCACCATGATTCAAGCAATCCAAATTAAACATAGCGTTGCAAGAATACTACATAAAGCATGCTTCTGGGCCCTAAACTACACGGACTTAGCATAATAGTAGCTACGCATGGACTCTCGTCACCTAATGCATACGTATCCCCCACATATAATGGCAAATTATTAGATTACATCACCTATGGGGACAATTCCCTCTTACAAAGTTAGATAGGAGACTCGCCTCGCTCCAAAGTGTACTTCCAGTACCAAGAATGAGCCCGAACTCTTAATTTGGAGCCGAACGATCCCAAACTAGATAAACAAGGTAGGCTCTAGTCAATACAAGCTCACAAGATCGCATTCTAACTATTTAAGCAATTTCCCACCCTTAAACACAAGTTTCCTAAAATTCGACCTCGGGCCCACGTGCCTGGATTTTGAAGTTTTTCGAAGAAAGTTGTTCTCTATAACCTAAGGGTCAATAATATACGATTTCTAATTCAGTTCATAACAAATTTCGTGGTTAAATCTAACTTTTGTTAAAACCCTAGGTTTTGCTCTAACCCCACGATTTTACCTTAATCCTAGTATTTAATCTACCTAACACACAAGTATTAGACTAGGAATAGGTGAGATAACTTACCTCAAGACGCTAGGTGGAAGTCTTCTCTCAAAAGCTCCCAAAATCGCCAATGGAGGAGTGAAAAGTGGTAAAAATTACTTAGAACCCGTATTAAATGAAGCTCACTGCTTCAGCAATTTCCGCATCTGCGGTCCCGCTTCTGCGAGGAAGAGACCGCATCTACAGAATAGGCCAAGTGGGTTGGGACCACTTCTGCGGTCTTGAAGCCGCTTCTCCGACTTGGGAGCCGCTTCTGCTATTTCTGTCCTGGCCTGCCTTGGCCTCATCTGCGAGAGGGCTACCGCTTCTGTGGTCTCGCACCTGCGGCCGTCCAACCGCATGTGCGGTTATGACATATACCAGATGCTTCAACCCTTTTCAACTTTTCCAACTTCACTCGAGCCTCGTCCGTTTGACGCTCGGGGTTTCCGGGTTCCGCCCGAACATACCGACATGTCTTAAATCATGAAACGAACCCGCTCGAACCTTCGGAACACCCGAAACAATGCTAAATCTATGAATCACCCCTAAAACTAATAGAATCAAACTTATGAACTTCAAGTTCTTAATTTCACTTCTAACGTGCCGAAACGTACTTATACTACTCGGATTGACACCAAATTTGGCGGGAAAGTCTTAAATGTTATATTGGACATGTACTAGGCTCCGGAACCAATATACGAGACTGATACCAATGTGATCAATCATTAATCGTTTTCTTTAAATCCTTAGAATTTCAGTTTAACAATTTCTAATAAAAATTCATTACTCGAGCTAGGGACCTTGGAATTCGCTTCCGGGCATATGTCTAGGTCCCATATTTTCTTACGGACCCTCCGGGACCGTCAAAATATGAATTCGGGTCCGTTTGCTAAAAATGTTGACCAAAGTCAAACTTAGCCTTTTAAGAAAATCTTAAGGGGTCAAATGAGCATTTTTCAACCCAAGCTCTTCCAAATTCCGAACCAACCATCCCCGCAGGTCGTAAATTAGTTAAAGCAAGCATGGAAAGTTTTATTTAAGGGAACAGGGTTCTAAAAAGTAAAACGACCAGTCGGGTCGTTACAAAATCCAACATCTATGAAACTAGATGTAGAAATCAAGGAAAAAATAGAGTTAAAATGTGACCTTGAGTGAATGGCAGCTTTAATATGTATTAAAATATCAGCGGGTGTACAACAAAGAGAGCGGCGTCGGGAAAGCAAAACGAAATCCACGAACTCGAACCGGAATCAAATTCGGCTCAAAGGAAACCCCATCTTGATGCTTTTAATGGCAGGTTTGCTGAGCCTTTTTAAATGTTTCTCAACCTAAAGCTTCTGCCTAGAAACAGAAAAGAGCTTTTGATTCTGTTGGAGAAATAGAAGCTGATAGTTTGCTGCATTTTGTTTAATTTAGGTCTCGATTTGTCTCTCCATCAGATTTGAGATGAAGAGAACATATAATGATCAAAAACCAAAGCCAATCTTAGGCTGCTGTTTCTGTTGTTGTCTCGATCTCCCTCGCGTGAGTGTGTGTGCATTTTTTTTGGAATTCAAAGATCCACTCTTCTTAGCTAAGGGAGGAATTCAAGGTTTTGATGACAGAAGTTTGTTGGATTTAAGTCCAAAAAATCGTCACTCCAGAATTGCGGCTGATTTCCTTTTTGTGTGTTGATTCCTTTTTTTTAGCTTAGTGTCTAGGTCTTAGCTCAAGGATTTAGGCATTATTTTATAGGGGGTAGGAATTAGGTTAGGTCAAATGGGGAATGAGTATGGGCTCAATGTTTTGGGCTATCGGAAATTGGGTCTTTTCAATTAAGACCAAACAAAATTAGCCCTAAATTTCAAACTCTTTCTTTTAAACAAGACCAAAAATATTACACTATTTACTAATTAATCCTACTTAAGTAAAATAAATACTAAAATAAAACTATCTGTTAAAACAAACCTATTTTTGATATTTTTTTAAAAAAATATCATACTGAAGGATAAAAAATGGAAAAATCATTGTAAAATTAAGATAATATTCCTAGAACTATTTTTTTTTTGGTGTATTTTGAATTTTATGTAAGGTAGACAAATTAAAAGTAACTAGATAAAAATATTAATTAGCTAAATAAGAGAAAGTATTTTTTGTAATTTTTATTTTTGTGATAAAATAAAGTAAAGAGAGCGATACTAAAATTAAACTAAATATTTACGCTAAAAATGTATAAAATCTTGGGAAGGGTCAAAAATTACATGTCTACAGTAGTACTACCTAGCCTCCTTGCCTTGGCATGCACAAGATCTCTATCACTATTTCTCACACAAAAGGCAGCAGAGCTTGGGCTTGGGTTTCCCCTGGAGGCTTCATCAGTATTACACTTGAACCATCCTTCTTGAGTGAAATGTTATTGCACCACCTTGCATCCCAAAACTACTCTGCACCCTTCAAAGAACTGAATCAAATCTGGCCAAAGAACAGGTATATTTTACAGCCAAGGATACCTAACTTTAGCTAGGTTATATAAGTTTATGTTGAGTTCATGTATCGTCCTTTTGAAGGAGATTGTACCACCATACATAACAGTGTTCCTTCTCATCCATAGCTACCACAAATCATAATAGGAGCAGCTTGAAATAATTGTTAATTTTTGCTTGACAGTCTGCATTCCACCACTAAAAGACAACTTGATGAACCTGTACAAAAGGACCACGCGAACCTACAACAGACACAAAGTAATTCTGTGCTCTGCTAGAAAAAGAACCTATATGAAGTAAGTGAGGAATTATTTCCTTTTGAAACTGAACGCAACAAGTGAAAATGCTCTAGCTTTTGCTTTTACAAGTATTATGTGCACTAATATGGGGACAGCCAAACTTTATATGTGCCATTTAGGTTTTTAATATTTACTCGGTTCTGGACTTGAATTTCCTCTACTCTAGCCGAGTGCATAGAGGCAAGAATTATATCGCTGCAGGATTCAGAAAATAGCTGGCCACAGAAAAAAGCTGAAAATTCCAGCTGCAAAATGAGGGTTTACCAAGTACAGAGGATATTAAGGTCATTTGCAAGATCATTGAAGAATACTTGGAGAGTGGTACATTCGTTTCCTGCACTACCTTTGTTACATCTTCTCCTAAGATGAATAAGAACTATTGGTCGTATCTAATGTTATTAGTGAACTCAACCTAGGGGTTAACTTATATTAGAATAATTTCATAATAAATTTAAAAATCATAAAAACTGATATGTACAATATTTACTACTTAAAGCATTGTCTTGATTGGAACATTTTGTGCTTCTAAGGTCATGTGAAAAAGGATTTAATACTCCACATATATTCTTTTCTGGTGGGAAAGTTTCAGAAGTAAAGCAGAATATAAAAAAAGTTATTCAACTGGGAGTCATTGTTGCTTTTTCTCTCAGAGATATACAACTCAATTTTTAGTATCTTTGTCTGCAGCTATATTTGAAATATTTGGATTGAACATATGATGATTGAATAGTGCACAACTATCTTGATCTAGATTGAATGTGCTACAATATAGTTAACCAACTTGTTTATGTAGTGAAGAAATTAGTTCATTAAGTTCTTGAGCTGCAGAAGGATACCCCTCATATACTATATTTTAAAGTATTAGCATCTAACTGTCTATTAAAAGAATTATTGAGTAACGGTAAAAGATTTAACAATAACCTTAGAAAACATGCATTATTTCAGTTTATGTCATGGTTATTCTTGCCTAACCGTGTAGTCCAGAGCCCAGAGGTACTAAGTAGGTACTAATCATGGCACCACTAAGGTTTAAATGTTTATAACTGATTCTTTCGAATTTAACTTAAATTACTGGGTTTGCTTCTCTTAGGATTTCTTAAATGATGATAGTTCGCCTTCTTTGACTTTGTTCTGCTCTTTGGAAAAAAAACTTAAAAAGTTTTTCATAATTTGTCAATATGTTGCAAGTAATTGAAAATTAGTGTAGTAGTAGTAATACTCAATATAGTAGCTGTCTTTACAATTCAATTATTCATGATATGTCCAACTATATTTTTATTTAGGTATTTGCTTGATTAGTGGAGAAGAAACTTCATTGATCTTTTGGGGTAAAGTTGATTTGCTTGAAAAGCTATATTATCTCTGTCAGTGTGTTACGTTTCGCTTCTCATGTTTGAGCAGAGATAAATATCTCTGCTAATGTGATACATTTTGCTTCTGCTTAATTTTATTTAGCTACTTGCTTGATTAGTGGAGAAAAACTTCCATTCTTTTTCGAGTAAAGTTGATATTTGAGCAACTATTATATGCTAATGTGATACATTTCTCTTTTCCTTTTTGCTTTTGTGAATCAGTTTGAAAAGTTTCAGCAGCAAGAATCTTTAACTACAGCTAGCTTTTGAGTTTACAACATGTACATACATCTTTTGATGAACCACCATGCTCGTGGAACAAGGGCAACTCAAATTATAACTTTCCACATTTTTTTCATTTATTGGCATCTCTCATTATCTTTTTTTCCTTGTATAAATTGTAGAATATATAAGATCATGGACTCAAATTTTATCCTAATGTTCTATTTTGCACATTTATATATTTTGATTGCAAACACACTATATTAGAGCCTTGTATAGATGGATTGATGGCTGAAGCAGTGTGATAATGAGTTGAATCCTTTTTGGCTGGATTTTATGTTGTATTTGAAAATTAACTTTAAGTATGGCCGTAAGTAAGCATGTCATGTACGAGCATCGCAAATTCTAATTACAATGTCACGGGCACACGCCATCTAGTCTAGTATAGAAAGCAATACCAAAGTTCTACTCAAATCTTGTTAACCAAACATCAGTAACCAGAATACCAAAGTTAGACAAAAACTCTACTGTGACCTAACACCTCTGTCCGACCATTAAACAATAACGAATAAATTGCAAATGTACATGTTACAATCATTCTTTCAAATTAAGACACAAATAAGTTACTCAACGTATTAAACCTCTCTGACAAGGCCTCCTCCATCAAACTTAAAGATCTGATTTTCAAAAAACCTAAAGATAAATCTTTCTTTGTAATAAAAAAAATATTTGCCGAAAATATTTAAATTTTTGAAGTCAAGACTTGAGAACCAAAGCAGTCAGTAGCAATACAGTTTCCCTTCTGCTGCACAAAGTATTCTATACTTGTTTTTAGATAGGACACAAATCCATAATTGATGTTCTCCTAATGGGAATACATAAATACCATGTCAAAATATACTAATGGTGTGCCTGGAACCAAAGTAACCATAAACTTAAAACACTGCCAGTAAGAAAAAAAAAAGAAATTAACCTAAAGAACTTAAGTACACAAAACTTCTCTGGCAGTAAACCTCCTTCACCAATATGTGACACTGCATCTTAACTTTGCTCTAATTTTTAATTTATTTATATATTTAAGCAATCAAAATATGTTTATTTATTTAGCCTAAACGCCTTTTAAAAAGGCCATTGCATTCACGCCAAACTTTCAAAGTCAGCAAATCATTCACGCCATTTGCCGATAGCCAAGACTCTTTTTTTTTTTTTTTTCTTTTAAAGAATTTATTTATAAGAAAACTTAAAATAAAAAACCAAAGGGAAAACAGTTGTGAACCTGAAGGCTGTGCGACGGATCTGCCGAAGTATATTACCATAAATTTCACAATTAGTTCTCAATGATTCATCATGATAAAGGCTCTTGATACCAATTATTACAACTAAATTACTTTAGAGATGAACATCATCATCTCTTACCCAAGAACTATTATGTCAAATCATCGAGAATAAAAAAACTAGATGCGAAAGTGTACCTAAATAGTACGATAAAGATTCTTCAGTCTTGCGGTTATCGGTTTTCCAAACCAAGACATAAGCCATAATCGTCTTTCTAACTATGTGATGCTAGAAAGAAAACCCTACCATAACCCTATTAATAGGTGTACAAGTTTATGTATTTTTAATTTAGCCTATCATTAAATTAGAAACTATATCTGAATATCCAGAGGCAGATTCAGGATTTGAGGATTATGGGTTCCTACCGTAATTTCAGATTAATATGCAATAATAATTGAGTTCACAGTCAGATATTTACCAATATATAGTGAATTTTTTAATATAAATACAGGGTCTACATAAGAGTTACTGAGTTTCGGAGAACCCGTAACCTATGCACTAGGTTCGCCCCTGTGAATATCTACCATCTCATAGACTCATTTAACTTTAAATCTTTAATAGATGACTTTCGATTTGGGTCAATCTTTTAACAATATTAACCAACATACAATTATTCTTAATTCAAAATATATGTGCAAGTCTGTATATATATTCTTGCATAGGTAGCTAGTTGGTTGAATGCTGATCTGTTGAATTTTTGCAGTGATTGAATTGAGATAATGACAATATTGGTATATTATATTAATAGATGAGACAATGTCTACAAGTGGAGCTTAAAAAATAATGAATAGATTTATTAGACTTTTACTGTCTACATATTTTATACTAACTTATAATTCTCTTTTAAGTTGCTTTTAGTTTTCTTTCATCCACTAAGTGCATATTTTGTCAATTCATCATAATTTTCTCCTCTTCACTTTTAACATCACCTAGAAACATTATTTTAATCATTTTTAAATACAACATAATTATTTGATAATGACCAGAATTACATCCTCAAAATGGGCTTCGCTAGTAATAAAAATAGGGAGAAATTTTACTACAAACCAATCATAAGGTTTGTCAGACATTATAATTAAGTAGGAATGTTAATTTTATGTTTTTCTTCTATTTGTATAACAAAGTAACTTTTTGTTGTAACACAAGTTTTATGATAATGTTTGCATTTAATTAGCAAATTATTCCCCTGTATAAACTTCCTTTCTTTCAACATAATCATGTTGGCGTTTGTTGCGACGGAATTAGCTGAAGAAAGGGGCTACGCTAAGTCTTTGTTTAAACAAAAGCTTTTTCAAGTCTATGTATAAGTTTTAAAGTCAGAGAATATTTCATTATTTTATTCTAAGTGATCACGCACGAAAGAGAACTCTATTTATATAAATTAATTACCCTCGAGTCAATTCAGTCCTGCTATTTTATTTTTGTGCTTGGAAGTTGGCACCTAACGTACCATGTGATGTGAGTTTGATTTCACATTCTCCATTCGTAATGGATTCTGCAGGATTTGATTTTGTGAAATACTGCTGCATAGTTTTGAGCCATTCTAGCCTGTATCTCTCCCTTTAAAATATAACTAGTAGTCGTACCCGTGCGATGCGCGGTCAATATTAAAAAAATATTAATTAAATTAAATTATGATCAGGCTTGTTTGATCCTATTAGATCGTATTGATTTAATAAAATTCAATTGTAATCTTGTTTGTCAATACGATATACACAATAATGAAATCCCTATTAAATCAACGTACTTATATAGTCAGTGAATAACTTTTTTGTTCTAATTTTCTTTATTATATTAAACAATATTTAGTATTCGCTTTCTTTTTGTAATATATGAGAAGATATATAATTTATTACTATTGAATTTTTTTTTTGTTTAAATTTTATTATGTTGTTCTTAATAATATTATCTAAATTTTAGTGAAAAAAATCTATGTTAAACTAACGGGACTTATACAGGCAGCACATCGAATAACGTTTTTGTTATGTATTTTTCTTTATTATATCTTTCAATATTTAATACTATTACTTTGTTAATAGAAAGTTTCATTAGCATATTACGTTATTTAATATTTTTCTCTGAAGTTTTTTTTATTACTTTATTTTTATTTTTTTATTTTTAAATAATTTTAAAACTCCAACTTAAAACTACTCCCCAATTTGAATTGGTAATTTATTATTTTTTTAATTTTGGTTTTTATATTAAAATTATATTAAAACTCCAACTTGAACTACTCCCCAATTTGAATGGGTAGTTTTTTCTCTTTTTTTTCGTTTTTTATTTTAAAATAATTTAAAAACTCTAACTTGAAACTACTCCCACCCAATTTGAACGGGTATTTACTTTTTTATATATTTATATTTATATTTTCTAATTATAGTTAATTATAAGATATCTATTTTTATTTTAAAATTAGTTTAAAACTCCAACTTGAAACTACTCCCCAATTTGAATGGGTAGTTTTTCTTCTCTTTTTTTTTTTTCTTTTTTTTGCTTTTTT